AAGGCTGAGGTGGAAGGAGCACTGGAACCTAGCAGGTCAATGCTAAGGTGGCCATGAGCATTCCATGGCATTCCAGCCTGGGTGATGGACTGAGACTCGGACTCAAAAAACAAAACAAAACAAAACTGAAAGTATAGAAAGAAAAACATTGATGAATGTCTATAGCCTTGTAGCAGGGGATGTCTTTCTAGTATAAATCCATAGTCAGAAAGGAAAAGTCTGATAAACTTAACTACCTGAACATAAAAATTTTCTGAATGGAAAAAAAAAAAAGCACCATCAGCAAAGTCAAAAGACAAATGACAAACTGAGGAAAATATTTTGCAACTCTACATAAAGAGTTAAAAAACAAATCTTTAAAAAACTTGCTATCCATCACTCAATGTAAAGCAATAAACAAACTACTGTGTACATGTCAAAGGTTAAAAAAAAAAGAGTTAATGTCCTTAATGGAAAAAGCTGAAAAACCTAAGAGAAAAACCGACAAAGGATATACAGAAAAGAAATACTAATGACTTTCAAACATAGACAAAGATGCTCAGCCTCATTCAGGATAAGAGGAATGCAAATTAAGATGCAATTGAGCCAGGCTCAGTGGTTCAGCCTGTAATCCCGCGCCTTTGGGAGGACGAGGTGAGTGGATTGCCCGAGCCTGCGGGTTCGAGACCCGCCTGAGCAACGTGGTGAGACCTCATCTCTACAATAAATAAAAAATGAGCCGGCGTGGTAGTGCACACCTGTAGTTCCAGCTACTTGGAAGGCTGAGGCGGAAGGATTGCCAGAGCCCAGCACGTTGAGGCTGTGGTAGCTGGGAGAATCCACTGCACTCCAGTCTGGGTGACAGAGTGAGACTCCAACTTAAAAAAATAAAATAAAATAAAAGACGCAACTGAAATCCTATAACTTACCAAACAGACTGGCAGAAACCTGTCAGTACTTTAAATAAATCACTGCACTGTCTTTCTGTCTTCTCACCTCGGCTGTTTTTGATGAGAAGTTAGGGGTAACTCAAATAATTGTTTGGCTGTATATAAAGCAACATTTTCCTCTGGTCACAAAAGATTTTTCTCTTTATGTTTGGTTTTCAGCATTTTAACTATAATGTGCCTTGGGTTTTTTTTTTTCTTTGCATTTAGTCCAGCTGGGATTTGTTAAGCTTCCTGAATCTGTAAATTTATGTCTTTCACCATATTTGAAAATACAGGGGTGTTATTTCATGAAATATTTTCCTGCTCTCTCTCTCTTTCTCCTATCATGTCCTTCTAGGATTCCAGTGTCTTCCATATTAAATGTTTTGACACTGTCCCATGATAGCAAGGTTCTACTTTCTCTTCTTGCAAGTATCAATGCCCATCCAGCATCTGCCTCCTTTGATCTCTCTACAGTGCTTTCAGGTAGATTACTTTATGTTTTGTCCACAGAGCAGTTAGTTGATATCTGTGGAAGTGTTGACAGGAGATTGTTCAAAAAAATTAAAAATAGAATTACCATGTGATCTAGCAATTCCACTTTAGGCATATATTCAGATGAACACAAACCAGGATCTTGAAGAAATACCTGTATACCTACATTCAATGGAACATTATTCACAATAGCCAAGAGGTAGAAGCAACCCCAGTGTCCACTGAGGGATAAATGATAAATAAAACGTGTTAAAGACATACAATGGAATACTACGCAGCCTGAAAAAGGAAGGAAATCCTGTCACAGGCAACAATATGGATGAACCGCAAAGATATTATGCTAAGTGAAATAAGTCAGTCACAAAAGGACAAACACTGTATGACTCCACTCATATAAAGCATCTAAAGGAGTCAAAATCACAGAAACAGAAAGTAGAAAAGTGACTGCCACAGGCTGGGCAGGGGGAGGGAGGAGAAGTTAGTGTTTAATGGGTTTCAGTTTCAGTTTTGTAAGATGAAAAAGTTCTAGAGATCTGTGGTCAAGCAATATGAATATATTTAGCACAAATGAACTGTGTACTGAAAATCAGCAAAGATGGCAAATTTCGTGTTATGTGTCTCTCACTAAAACATAAATAAACAAATTTACAAAAGAATAAAAAAATTTTAAACTGAACATACAAAATAATTTGCAATAAGAATACATTTTAACCATGCTGATTCAAACATACTAATCATGTGTAAGACCTTGGAAATCATCTATTTTAAGAGAAAAAAAAAAACGAAAGAATAAAAGGGGAAGCACATTTAGCCCAAAGAAGACCTCAAAAAAGAAAAAGGAAGACCTCAAAGAATCAGCACAGAAAGGAGTACCTACATGTATTTGTGCTTAACTAGAGTTTACTGATTCATGCCTTCAACAAACGTTTGTGAGTGCCAGTTGTGTGCCAGGCACTGTTCCAAGTGTTTGGAATCTATCAGTGAGCAAAATAAGGATCCCTGCCCTCTGGAGATTGTACATTCCAGTGGGAGGGACACATACCGAAAACATGAATACATGTGGTGGGTACCCTCCACCGATCCCTGGTATTCATACCGTTATGTAATTCTTTGTGTGTGTGTGTGTGTGTGTGTGTGTGTGTGTGTGTGTGTGTGTGTGTGTGTGTGTGTGTGTGTGTTGGGGGAAGGTGCTGGACCTAACAGATGGAATGCAGCAAAAGAAATGGGATGTCACTTTTAAGACGAGGTTATAAAAGACCGCCATTCTGTCTGGCTCACACATGCTCCCCCTCACTCTCTCCTGCCTCTGGCTCTGATGAAGCAACTGTCCTCATATGAGCTGCCCCACCGAGAGGCAGGGGGCTGAAGGCAGCCTCCAGACAACGGCCAGCACTGAACTGAGGCCCTTGGCTCAACAGCACGCAGGGCTGAGTCATGCCAACAACCCCATGAACGGATTTATAATGAGCTTACCGCCAGCTGAGCCTTGAGATGACTACAGCCCTGGCCAACGCTTCACGCACAACCCGTGAAAGACCCTGAGGCAAAGGGTCTATACAGATTCCTGACAAGCAAAATTATGGTAATAAATGGTATTTTAAGCCACAAACTTTGGAATGACTATTTTACACAGCGACATACAACTAATACATTAATTATATGGCATGTAAAAAGAGATGGAAAAAGAATGTGGGCAAAGTCAAGGCTGAGAGAGAGGGTGCGGGTGCAAGCTGCCATTTTGAAAGGGGTATCACAAAGATAGACTCGTAAATGTCTACAGCAGCACCTTCGTGAAAGTCAAGAAGTGGGAACAACCCAGATGTCCCATACTGGTAAATGGATAGACAAAATGTGGTCTGTCTGTCCATGAAATATCACTCAGCCATAAACAGAAATGAAGTACTGAGACATACAGTAACATGGAAGGACCTCAGCCCTCTTATGCTAAGTTAAAAAGTCAGTCACAGCCGGGCTCGGTGGCTCAGCCTGTAATCCCGCGCCTTTGGGAGGCTGAGGTGAGTGGATTGCCTGAGCCTGTGGATTCGAGACTCGCCTGGGCCGCGAGACCTCACCTCTACAATAAATCAAAAAATCAGCCGGGCATGGTAGCGCATGCCTGTAATTCCGGCTACTCGGAAGGCTGAGGAGGAAAGATCGCCGGAGCCCAGCAGGTCGAGGCTGCAGTGGCCGGAAGCGGCCACTGCACTCCAGTATGGGCAACAAAGTGAGACTCCAACTCTCAAAAAAAAAAAAGTCAGTCACAAGACACCTCGTACACTATGATTCCATGACAAGAAATACTCAGAAAAACTCAGAAAAGAAAATCTATAAGGATAGGACGTGGTGTAGCAGCTGTCTGGGGCTGGAGGTGAATGGACACAAGGGATTCCTGCTGAGGAGCAGAACCATTCTACAACTGGAGCACAGTGGTGGCGGCTCAAATCAGTCAGTTTACTGAAAACCACTCAAATGTACACTTGAAACTGGTAAATTTAGGAAAAGTAAATTGTATCTTTAAAAAGTTACTTTAAGGATTGGCAGTAGTAGGATACTACCGGGGTGACGGTGGAGGGGAGGACACACCATCAATAAGGGCACCTGATCTCAAACCAGATGAAGTGGGGGGGCACCTGATCTCAAACCAGGTGAAGTGGGGACCAAAGGGAGGCCCAAACTTTACCCGTATGATGACTACTTGTATACCTCATCCTGAATTGTGCCCCGTATCTTTAAAATAAAAAAAGTGCTTTAAAAAACTGAGAGTGTTACCAGGGTATCATCAAGAGTATAACATTCGTAAACACGTGGAGGCAGAAGGGTATCAGCCGTGTGCACATCTGGGGCCACGTGCTAGACTACACAGAGTGCATGCCAAGAGCCTGAGGCAGGAACCCACCCAGTGTGTCTGTAGCACAGCGAGGGTGTCAGCGTGGCTGGAGTGGGATTTGAGAGAAGAAAGTAGAAGGTGTACAGAGAGAAGCAAAGATGGGTAGAAGATGGCGATAACATGAATCAAAGGTCTTTTACACCACTGGAAGGGCTTTTATCATGAGAGAAAAAAAGAGAAGCACACGAAGGTTCGGGCAGAGGAATGACATGATCTGACCCGTATTTTTAAAGGATCACAGAATGTCAACACATTATAAAAAGAAAACATAAAGGTCCCATTAAGCTGCCTGCCTCCGCAGTTACTGGCCTTTCTTATCTGACTGGGATGCTAGAGAAATCCTCCTTGAAAGGAGGAGAAATTCATCAGCGTCTCAAAACGTGGCCAGCAAGCCCCTGCATCAGAACCTACATACATGGGGCCATCACACATTCAGGACCTCAGGCTCCACCCCCAAATGCTGAGTGTCTGGGGCTGGGGATGAAACTCCGAATTTTACAAACTCCTCAAGTGGTATCTTTGAGAAGTACAATGAAGCAGATACACATCAAAGTCCCTTCAAACTCTAAAGATTAGAAAGAACACAGGTTACTTAAACCATGTTCATCTAAAGAGATGACTAGGGCTTACAATAAATGGACATCTGGACTGAGTATTCTTATTTTATTACAGATTAAATGACCTTTTTCCCCATTCTCAAAAATTCTTACCCAGTTGTTTTTTTTCCCAGCATAAATTTCCATGTTTTCTCCATACTGTGGCTCTTCCAGTAACGTCTGGTATTCAAACATGAGGCGGGAGCTCTCCCGGAGGCGGCTACATTGAAACTGGTGATACTGTTGCACGAGTTCCTTCACCACCAGCAAGAGGCATTCAGGATTGGAAGGATTCCAGGAGGCAAGATTCTGTAGGAGCCATAAGCAAAAGACTAGTTAAAAAATGCATTTTCATATAATCCCAGCACCACATTCACACATCAATATAGAGGAAAAGAGAAATAAAAAACTAAAAGGAGGATTTCACGGTTTAAAAAAAAAAAAAACTAAAGGGAACAGACTATTCCCAATTAGCCATGAAACCAGAGATGAAATTAGAAGAGTCTTTTGATACTGGTGATTTCTCCTGCCTTCTAAAAATCCTTGTAGAAAAACCAAGGAGAAATTCCATCATGAATAGGCAGAAACAGTAAAGCGTAAAGGAGGGTAGTAACAAAACCAGAAACCTAAATATCCTAGAAGACCATAATTTTAGCCCTGGAGACTTAATTTGCTTCTTATTCTTTTCTAATTTAAATGTTGTTCACTCTCTACCTAAATTCAGCATTATATGCTATAGTAATTCAACTGAGACCCACAGAGAATCTGTGTCTGTAACACCAGATATAAATAAATGCTCTGTAAACACTGGAGTCTCGCAGAAATGCAAGCACAATGGGGAGGGCTTAGTCTGAAAGGCTGGGGATGGAGCAGAGACAGCGGAGATGTCTGCCAGGTGCCGGAGCCTAAATCTGCAGGCTCATCCCTCTGCCTAAATCTGCAGGCTCATCCCTCTGCTTTGAGCGCACAGGAAACACGCAGCCATTCGGCCCACAGTGCAATCACACTCAGGATTTCAAGAGACAGTCACACCTCAGTATGAGAAGTCCACCATGTACACTTCTAATTTTGTCACACAGACTATCAAAAAGGTATGTACTCATGGGTTGGGACCAAACATGCACAGTTTTTATGACTTCATCAAGGACATTCTTAAGTGAACTGGCTTTTTTTTTTTTACTGAGACTGTATGGTGATGGAGAACACAGTAACTACTGATGCAACTGGATGCCTGCCTTGGTTAATACAAAGGTACCAGTTTTACTTGTTTACAGCTGTACTGCCTCTGCAGTACAAATACAAGCATCAACACCATCAAAAAGGAAATAACATCTTAATATGTTATGAAAATAGTTTTGGCTTTGGAGACCCCGGAAAGGGTCTCAGGGATTCCCAGGGGTCTGCAGATCACACTTGGAGAACCACTGACACTACTTCGCACTGCCTTAAGGACAAACCAAGCCCAGCCATTTCCAAAAGCAAACAAAGAAAGGGTAAAGGAGTAGATTCTTTCAAAACCAGGTAATTACTCCGCTCCACAGAATAGGCTAATGTGCAGAGACTCAACAGCAGTAGAGAAATCATAAACTACTCTTTCCTTTATAGGAAAAATAGATCTCAAGGAGTGTTCAGAGACTTGATGACTAGCAGGAAAGGGAAGAGCTTCAGCATCATACAAAGAGGCACCTTGGTACGTATTTTGATAAAAAGAGTACAGACTTCCCTGGCAAACCTCTTGGCCTCAGTAGCCTGAAATTCCTTTTGAGTTGCTCAAGACCACATTCAACATGTCAATAGGATACAACAAAACAGTATGAAATGCAAAACGATCGTGACTTGCTGTGCATCTCTCTCAGAGATCAGCATCAAGCATGTACAAAGAAGAAAAGTAGGCAAGACTCCATTTCTCGGTCAAGTGTTCCTTTCTGGTCCTTGCTCCAGTAATAGAGTAAAAAAAAAAAAAAAAAAGAAGCTGTAGTCGCCTCAACTTATACTTTTTTTAGAATTCCATCATTTCTCGCTAGTTACTTAGCAAGTTACAAGCCTATATCCACACAATTTTAAAAAATTAAGAGAACATGTAAGATGGGAAAAATCACTTGCCAATTTGAATTCACTTCACATGATTCAACCTAATTGTTAAACACGCAGTAAAGACATGCCAACCTGCCCCTTCCCACTGAAGCACAGTTTCCAAATACTTGGAAACGCAGCTGACCTCTTTGACCATTGGACACCACTGGAAAACATCACCACTGAGGGAGGCTTAGACATCTAAACCACATAAAAATTCCTTTGCTCTTGCTACAAGACCAGCTTTACTTGTTAGGTAATTTGTGGCTTGAACCACTCTGCCTAGAGGAGAGGAACAAAGAAGATATAGGCAGTTTTAGTCACTCCCTAAGACGAGGGATACATTTACAAACAGGTCTAGCAATATGAGACACTGGAGCTTTCCATTCTCTTGAGTAGGAGATAGAGAAAAATGCCCAGAGATCCTTCAGGGAAAGAGGGGGCGAAGGAATAAATGAGCAGGCCTCTTTACAAAGAAGGGGGAAAAAAGTGTTCTCTCTCTATTCACAAAGTTCTTATTCTACTTATTTTTGGTAATGCATGAAGGAAGAAATTTGAAATAAGCATGGCCACAAAGAGGACAGGGCTTGTAATACATAACAAAGAAAAGAGGATAGAAGAAGACTCCAAAAATAAGGCATGAGAAATGCATTAGAACATGATAGAATACAGTCTAAGAAAACACACAAAAGCAAAATAATTAACTACTATTTTACGGTAGAAATTTCATTCATTCTAATTAAAATACCTGGAAAGGTATGATGCCTGTTGTTTTTAAAGATAGGTTAACTAAAGATATTTAAAAGCTTTGTTGATAATCAAATGTAGACAATAATTGAGACAGTGTAGAATGTAAATCTTTCAATCCTTCCCCCATAGTACACTAAACTATCTGTTTCTAACCAAACTGGCCCCAGTCTCTTTGCGGGCATGAGTGATCCAGGGGAAAGTAGTGGTCTGGACTCCCTCCCTCTGCTGATCCCAGGGGTAGCAGTGGTCTGGACTCCCTATTCTGCTGTTCCTGGGGGTAGCGGTGGTCTGGACTCCCTCCCTGCTGACCTTGAGGAAGTGGTGGTCTGGAATCCCTCCCCTATTGATCCCAGGGGTAGCAGTGGTCTGGACAAATCTTGCTCTGCTGATCCTGGGAGTAGTGGTGGTCTGGACTCTCTCCCTGCTGATACTAAGGGTAGCAGTGGTCTGGACTGCTCTCACACTGATCACAGGGGTAGTGGTGGTCTGGACTCCTCTCATACTGATTGCAGGGGTAGTGGTGGTCTGGACTCCCTCTCTGTTGATCCTGGAGGTAGCAGAGGTCTGGATTCTCTCCCTTCTGATCTTAAGGTAGCAGTGGTCTGGACTCCCTCCCTACTGATCTTGGGGTAGTGGTGGTCTGGACTCCCTGCTCTGCTGATGCCAGGAGTGCTGAATTCTTCTCTGGCTCTCCTGTCAAGGCCACCTGACATAAGAGATGTCACTGGGCTGGGCGCAGTAGCTCAAGCCCATAATCCCAGCACTTTGGGGGGGCTGAGGCAAGGACTGCGGGTTCCCAGCGGTTTGAGACCAGCCTGGACAACTTGGTGAGATCTTGTCTCATAATACATCAAACAATTAGCCAGGCATGGTAGTGCACGCCTGTAGTTCCGATTACTTGGAAGGCTGAGGCAGAAGGAGCACCTGAGCCCAACAGGTCGATGCTGGGTGGCTGTGAGCATGCCACTGCACTCCAGTCTGGGTGACAGAGTGAGACTCTGACTCAAAAAGAGAGAGAGAGAGAGAGAGAGAGAGAGAGATGTCGCTGGCTCATGTGACCCTCAAACTCCTTACACTTCTTTCTCATAAATACATTCTACCTCATACTTTATGGGCTCCCAAATCAATGGCCCCACACACTTGACCAAGCCCAACCACTACTCAGCTCCTTCTCTGAGCTTCCTCATGTCAGAAAGACAGGAAGGCCACGGTTTCAGAAGCCTCACTCAACTCCTGTTCAGGTCTCACTCATTCATACCCAAGTTTTTCAGCTACACTGAAGCAAAGTTAGATAAATACAGAATGTCAGTAAATGGAAGAAGCTGGGAAACCATGTAGTAGGTTTATTTTCTTTGGAGAGATGAAGGAGGAAAACAAGCAAATGAATAAGACTTGGAACCATCCCTGCCTAAAAAGGGAGGGAAAAAGCATCTTCTAAGGGGAAAAAAAGTCCTTAGTAAAAAGAATCTTATAAAAAACTTTCAGTTACTAAAAGGATAAAGTACAGGAATACATAGAACTATAACAAGAAAACTATCTGAAACTTCTTACTACAAAATTTTGCACAACCGTCAAGCCTATCTAAAAAACAAAGGGAAATCAAAACTGATTAACAATACGTGAAAAGTATGCAAGCTTATTAGCAAACAAATAAAACTGTCCTCGTTTCTCTTTTTCCATAAACTAAATTTTCATTGAAAAAATAATGCATGCACATGGTAAAAATAATTTTTTTTCAAATAGAACAATACTAAGTCTCGCTTCCCACCAGTCTCTTCTGATCCTCTCCCTGGAGAAGCCTACTCTCACCCGGGGGCTGCATAGAACCCTCATGGGTATTCCCACAGGCCCTGTGGCTCTGCCCACGTAGCCCTCTTCCCCCACAGGCCGAAGCTCTGTGCCTGCTCCCACAGTCCAACTCCCGTCCCTTGGACCAGTGACTTGAACCCATCAGCCTGACTTTTGCTCCAAGACAGGGTTTCGGCTCCACAAACTGTTCCTTCTCCCAGGGGACCCACTGACTTGGCCTGGCCCTCACTCTGCATTCCCCCAGAGAGAAAGTTGAGCAGAAATCATAAGAAACAGAGTTTATGTCTTAAATTAGCCAAGTTCTTTTCAGCAAAAAGCTAATGTTGGTGAACATGTCGTTAAATGGACATTTTACACATTTTACCTTTTATTCATATTTTCCAAATGTTCTGAGTGTGTTTTAAACATGTATATGTACATACATAAGACACGCATATTCTTTCACAAAGAAAACATCTGGTTTTTTCAAAACAGAATAGCACCTTCACATATATCACTTCAAATTGCTTTTTAATCTCCAAGTTTAGGAACATCCACTTGCCGTGTATACATTTTGTGAGGTCAGATTTCAATTGTCTCTTGTAGACAACTAAAAACGCTAGCCACTTCAACTTCCTTCTAGGAAACAAATCTTGCATTATTTAACCCTATACAGTAATGCTTCAAATAAAGTTGAA